ATATCTCTGCCAGAGTTCATTTCCGACGAGATTACATCCCATTGAATCATATGTTGTTTAATTAATAAAAAGCGTATATTTCTAATCTCTATAAGGTGACCTCATTAAAATTACACATGTAGAAAATCTTAATTTAAATGACATACATCCGGCACAAATGTAACACTTCGTTACATTAACCTAGAGCGCGAGTAATGAGTGTAATCATATGTTGTTTAATTAATAAAAAGCGTATATTTATAATCTCTATAAAGTGACCTCATTAAAAATACACATATAGAAATCCTTATTTTAAATGACATACATCCGGCACAAATGTAACACTTCGTTACATTAACCTAGAGCGCGAGTAATGAGTGTATGTAACGGAGTTAATTTTCTTGCATTCCTCGCTAGATTCTTTATTGCATCCAAGTTTTTTTTTCTCGTGCGTTCAGCAAGAGCGCGCAACCGCGGGCAATGGCAAGCGCACACGCCAGCGCGAGTTGCAAAAGCGCGCTTTTAATTCTTACAATGCGCATCTAGATCATTAAATGTCTATTTCCGGACATTACATTTAATTTAGAACAATATAGTCAATTTGCTCGTCTAGATCATTAAAATGATAGAAAGTAAAGGTGAAGTTTTATAAGTAAGACTTAACACATCTGGAAAGTATGGTCAACAATTAAAGTGACTGATTACAGCATTGGTTGAATGCCTTTACATCTATCAGCTCAGAAAGTCAGCCATCTGTCGTGTTTAGGAGTGAAGTATAGCGATGCTATTGAATGAGTCTTGCCTGATCACGAGCTTTCAAGCAGTTAACCTGGTCAGTAGGTGTGAACAACTGCACTCTCTAACCTGTTCACTTAGCACGAGCTACCCTAACACCAGGATACAAGCTTTGATGTCTGCACGTCAAGATTTCGATCAAAAGAAATGAATATAAATATTATAAGAGGTAGAAGTGTGTGATTTACGTATGAAAACGTTCACTTAAATTTGAAATTCAATCAAAATACAGACAAAAAGATTAACTCAATGTTACGACATGGTTATTCCAATAAAATTTAGGATGACATTTTGATGATCTGCATTAATTAAAGCGTTCAATTCAGCTGAGCATGAAGCCATAATTGGGAATTTTCGGATGGCTATCAGCGAGGAACTCTTAATCTAAACAAACGCGCATAATGTCTCGGCCCCGGTAGTTTTTTAGCACTTATAGCATTGATTGGCAATGAAGGGCAATCAATCGTTCCGTAGTAAGATTTTTCTGGAACAAATGCGATGCGGATTAAATTATCGATGGTTTAATCATGCAAAATAAACTTAAATTCATGGGTTTAAATTTTAAAATAGTCCTTTCCTTTAAAGACATTTCAATGCGGGGGAAAAAAGTCGTCCACTCGCAATGGGGTCCTTGTCCTTGGTCTGAGATGGTCGCGTGAGGCTGTTGGAGGGGAATTTTTTCTAATCGTGATATGCGTCGTCCGCTTACAGTTGAATTACGGAATGTACGGAACTCATTGTGATTGAATTACGGAATTACATTCATTACGGAATGTATTTGCTTGGCTTACTCCTGAAAGTCTAGTGAACGTTTTTTAAAGAAATTGGGATGGATTTTAATGCCGCGTACAATGAGACCCAATTTAGATGATTTTCAATTGCGAGAAGTTGGATAAATTCATTCAACTACAATTCATAATTACATTTACAGAGAAAATCAAAGCGTTACTGTGGATTTTTTATTCAATATAATCTAGATGAATATTTCCGTCTTACGTGGGCCAATAAATAACAATACGAATAAAATTTCATCCCCATTACTGTAGCTTGGTTAATTGTCAAAGTAATTGACCATTTGTGAGCAGATCGAGGAGATTCAGCGGATTTTAATAAAATCAACCAACAAAGTCGTATACTCATGCGAAAGAGACACGCAGATCGGTTGTAATCATGGATATCTTAAACTTTGAAGTTCAGTTTATTGAAAGACAGACATTTCAATTATCATCATATAATCTACTTGAAGCCTTTGCCTACTAACTAAATATATTTACCCACCTTTAGTTACTGGTAGCATGATAGATGTGGTAGTCGGCCTGTTGCTGTTAGACGGTCGAACTTTATGCGGGTAGAGCCATACATTAAATATGAGGAGACACCACAAACAAATTCGTAATTTCGTTTAACCAAACAAGGTGAATATATTCGCAACTTTTGTCAAGCGAATAATTTGCTCAAAACGGGGAAAGTCCTTGAACAGCATCGCGTACCTGGTTCAAGATTCCGTTGTTGTGTTCTAATTACGATGTTAAATTTCGCACAATACATGTCTGCAAGTCTATTGTATCTTTCACAATCAAATTTTAATCCCAAACCTAATGATTTTATAAGAAATTTGAGCAGTTGAGCTGAATCTGAAAAGAAATAAATATGTTTATTGAATCTTCATATGCTTGTGCAGTCCACTAAAGAAAAGAAACAAGGATATCATAACGAATTATACAAAATGGGAAAAGTCGCATTGAGAATTTGAACTTTTGAACGAATTACTCATAATGAAATCTCACAATACGTTGGCAAAAATTTAATTCGTATTCATGCCCAAATAACCGCGTAACATTTCTGATCAATAATCATTCATTCGCTTAATTACGCGAAACCCAGAGCCAAAAATAAAAAGATGAATAACGATAATCTTATGATTATTCTCCAATGCTGTACAACGGCGAATTAATTAACAGTATTCATCGTATTTACCCAACGAAATTACCGACAACTTCCAAAAGTTATCGAGGTAAAAACGTAAAGCCTCGTTTTCCCAAATTCATCCTCTAAGACTAATCTTGAGAATCGTGGTCACGCAAGAGAAAAACTTCATATCACTCAGCGGGAATGCGGAGCGGCATATGGCCGATGGATGATGATAACTTGGTTCAAAATGCTTAGTCTTCCCGAGACATTTTCACAGCGGATCGTCCTCTCCGTAAACATGCTCGCCCTCCAACACATGCTATCATGTAGATCCCCAAAAATATCGTCCGCATAAAATCACGCCATATGTTGCTGTTATTTGCCTATCGGACAAAGAAAATTCCTAGCCCGCCCTAACGGGTTTCAATTCCGAAAAATCTGCCGTTGCGATCAGCCAGGTGCGCGCTTGGCAAAACAATTTAAAACTTCATTAGTGAGCCAGGATTAGTATTTGAAGAAAGCTTGCAGTGTATTATAAGCAAATACAAGAGTAAATGTTTGAATTACTTCAGTGGAAGCAAAGATATTAGTAATTACTACCTTACTGGTATCACTATTAATAATTTATATTTTCATCCAGGCGAGACATTATCATCGATTAATCACCCTTATTCAGCATTGCGAGGTTACGTTGCAAAAACATATTTTCTCCAGAAAATACTTTCAGGACATATTGGATATTCTTACCTACATTTATATTTTCCTGGTATCATGCAGTTATGAAAATAGCAAGCGATAGCTTAATGATCAATTTCTAATTATTCCTAAGAATATGATAGTTTATTTTGGTCGCTACAAGTAATGATAGTGAAGAAAAGTTTCTTGGTGACACAATTGTATCCAACACACATTCAGCGTTCCTAACACTGAAGAGAACACCAGATTCTTTTTCCATCGATCAATAGAAATTTCTCTAGAAGGAAAGCTAACATTAGACACAAAGATGTCTGCACTTAAAGTAGACAACGAGTAGCAAGTTCTTTCTTGGTTCTTGTAATAAGGACAAAAGACTGTGATCGATTAGCCGTGAAGCAACAGATGCTGCGGACGCCGGCAGTTTGCGGAACCTAAAGTACGGATGGTCGAACGACCGCACGCGTGAGGCCGTGAATGCGTTTCGTGTTAGTTTAACTGAACGATTTTGTTTGGGAAATTCATTCAACTGACTTGGGAGATCAACATAGGAAATCAACATATAGCTGTAAATTAAAGCTGCGCGCTATCAATAAAATAAAGGATTTTTGGGCGCTGAAACTTAATTGGCAAACTCATTTGACGATTGAAATTTTTATCCATCTTAAAGATAGAAAAAATTGTTTGTATTCGCACAATACATAAGTATAAGTAAATCTGGGCCTATAATTTCGCTCATTGCATTGAACAAACCATAGCAAGTGACTCTTGCAAACTATAATGCGTGCGCAATTCACTTGCGTAGTGCCTTGAGTAAACGATAGCAAAATGGAATCGTTACGCCCATAACAGAGACCTTATTTCAGAATAAAGATAATGAAACAATTTTTAGTATTTCATTCAAGTAAAATGCAGAGTTCCGGTGTCATCAGTTGCAAAAGTGACTAGGAAGTGGATGGAAAGGCATCCGGTATGCAGACGTGGAAGTACATCTAACCTTATCTGTTATTTATACGCACGCATAAAGCAGCCTTCCTCAGCTCTCGTGCTAGAAATTACAAACAACGCTGATTGTAGATGTGTTCATTGCAATTGCCTTGCGTCACGCAGCGCTTTGTTGACTTCTTCTCAAGAGGCGCGAGCTACGATCAAAGAAGACGACTCACGGAGCGTCGAACCAAGAGAATAAATATTCGTGTTTTGAAGTCCGTTAGTCTCGACCAGCTGTTAAAGAAGTCTTCGTCAGGCGCTTCACGCATTGTAGGCAAAACAAAATAGCCAAGAGAGGAGGCAGGCGTGTGCATACCGGTTCTTTTGACCTAGTATTGTTCTAACTGCATTTCCCGTTCTTTTTACTGAAATTTTCAACTTCAATAGGTTGACCCTGAATTGAAAATAGGAATACTTTTTCTGCGGTTCTACACCTTATAATTATTTGTTTTTAAAAACACCTACTCACCAGATTAATCTTTTGAGAAGCACTTCCCTGGTATAAACACTTTGAAAAAAATTAAATTATTTTCACAACATGCCACGTGTAATGAAAGCTGTCAATTTATGCAAAGCTCTGTAACCTGTATTAAATTTACTGGAAAATTAATATTAAATTCATTTTTTTGCAGGTCTTGGAAAGACACTTCATGAACATGGTTCATCATTTCGACCACGAGACATACAGCTTCCACTTGGATCACTTCGACTCGCCGAATAGCTCCAAGAATTCGACGCTGTCCTCAATACACAAGCAGAGGATAGACTTACTTTTCCAAAGCCAACGTCAGATTCAGCGAGGTCGCTATACAAGTCAAGACAATTCGTCCCGTGCCTCAACTCGACGAACGTCAGTATCTCCTGCTCCAAGATCACGGTCTAACTCCATTTTAAGGCCTGGCAGACCGGCCCATTTGCGACACTCTTCATCAGTCACAGTAAATACACAAAACGATGGGAAAAATGAAGAAGAGACATTTATTCGTAAGACAAGGGAACAAACTATTTCAAGCAAAGTCGCCGTCAACCAAGAGCCTACGACTGTTATCCGAATTGGTCCAGACTCGAGGCCCCTTCCTCCCAAACCTAATCGAGATTTAAGTGCAAGCAGGGCTCAAGTTAGTGTGACAAACACATCAAGCAATGACGTGCAAGTTAAACCACAACAAACCAAAAAGAATGCTCAAGAAGAGCTTGAGAGAGCCTTTGGTGGGAAAGACCAGCAACAAAAAGCATTCTTAAATACGAGAAGCGCAGTTCAAGCTCAGATTGAAAAGTTATTTGCAGATGCGTCCAAAGAGAATACTGCCAAAAATAATCTCAGAGATGAAATTCCACTAGCGCCTCAACTTACTCCTCACACATCAAGACCCACTCCTGATGCACCCCCGCCTCCTCCACCTCTTGAAACACATCCAGCGTTCAGGAACACACCTTCCCCAAAATCACCATCTTCCACCATAAAACGTAACACACCCTCGCCTCATTCATCGGGCACCGTTAGTGCGTGCAGTACTATTAGCAGGACGTCTAGTAGTCATTCAAGTTCGCAAGGATCTACAACTACCAACTCAAACATGGTGTATAGAGTCAATTACTTGGGAGCAGTTCAGTTAACTGGTAAGGCCACAAGCCTTGAAGTCCTCCAAGATCCTTTGAAACAACTTTATTACATACATAAATTTGGCGTAGCTCAGGGAAGAAGAGTGCCTTTGAGCACACTCTCTATTACAGATTCAGGATTGCGAGTCCTGCGGAATGCAACAGAAAAAGATTCCGTTGATTTTACAAATCCTTTTTCAACGATCGCTGTTTGGGCGGCCATCAAAATGGTCATAAAAAAGAAAATAGGTAACAACGGGCTCGTGAATTACTGCTACGCATTTCTGCCTCTAATATGTGATCCTGAGGCTCAAGAAAAATTTAATACCTACTATCCTCTTGATGTCGCTGATCCAACAGTCATGGAGGGTTCTCATCCGCCCATGTTTGCTTGCGTCATGCGGAAGACGGGAGAGTCTAAAGTTTTGGAGTGTCATGGTTTCATTTGTCGATCTTCCGAAGACGCCATCGTAATCGCAGCAAATCTTTACCAGGCTTTACTTGGTACCATGAACAATGATTCGTCGAGCCCTACTACGGAGCCTGGAGATGTGATGAGTGACAATGAACTGACGCCCACTCGACCACCAAGAAGAAGACGGACTCCTCCGCATTCGAACCAAGGAAGCCTTAGGAGGGCAATCAGCGAAGACATCCTACGGTCAAACACCAGTCAAGACTCGATCACCGGGAGACTCCAGCGAAAAACGAGTAATTTGAATGGACTCGCCATAGCAGAAGAAACTGAAGTGATACCTAACAACAAACTTGTTATCCCAAGAAGTAAGTCATTTGTAAATGTATCACAAGCCTTGGACGCACACAATTTGTTTGGAGATCCTAAAACTAAGATGGGCTTGGGAAGAATTGATGATGTGTTACGAGCAGTGATTAATCCAAACGGCATGTCCTACAGTGAAATGGACCCGCAACACAGAGAACTTCTCATGAAAATGGCCCTGATACTCACCAAAGATGAAATTTACCAGCGATCGAAGAACATAATGAGAAGCCAAAAACCGAGAAGCCACATTCTAGGTGGCTTCGAATCAGATAGCGATGCGTCGACCATAACTTCCGTGATCAAGGCGACAAAGCGGTCGATTTCACGTTTCAGCTCTCGTGCTTCTCATTCACTAAGGCCTTCTTATTTAAAAGAACGAATGCCCCTGAAAAAGTTTAACACCCATCAAGGGCCGATTTCGTTGTCCAAGGACTTGGATGAGCCCAAGTTAAAGGCTGTAAACTATGGTTACATGAGTGACGGAAGTCTCCCACGTCGTACTCCGAAGACTCCCATGCCTCGACGTAGTCCTACTGGTCGAGGGTATGCAATTTACAGTGAATGTGAATATGACAGTGAGTGCTCTAGTAAGTGCTATTGTACACTTCCTCTAAAGAAAGGGAAATCTCACGTCTGCCTGGCTGGGGATAACAAATTTTCATCACTCCATAGTAAAAAGAAACAAGGGTGTGACTGTGATTCCGAGAGCTGCGCAGAAAGCGAACGATGTTATTGTTCACTCAAAAAAATAAAGAAAAATGGGCTGAAGATGTATGAAATTAATCTGGATTCAGAAACGGACACAACTGTAACCAATGGGACTCTGAAGCGAGAGATATCAAGGTCAACAAACAAACTAAGCTCAAGTCATAGCACTGACGAAGTGAGAAGCAACACATTGAAGTCACCCCAGCGTAGGAACTCAAACGCCAGCCACTTGTCACAACCTCTAGAGCGAAGTAAAAGCAGGCTGCAAACAAATTCTACACTTCAAAGAAATCAATTGATGCGTCCTAGAAGCATGTCAACCTCGTCTCCAATTCATCCTGACAGTCTCAGCATTTTATCTCGATCGTCGTCCCAATTACGACCCGCGAGCCGTCCTCGCAGTCGAGCTCTTAGCAGCGACAATATCTTGGAAGAGACCAAAAGCAACCGGAGATATAGACATCAGTCCGGATCATTGGGCTCTACGAACTCAGAGTCCTCGTCCAGAAGTAGCCCAGGACTGGATTCCCATAACTCTGACGGGAGCTCAGCTGATTCGAACTCTTCACAGACGAAGATTCTCTTGCTTTCGGCGGTTGATCCATCAGGAAAGGTCGTCTACAGAAACGCTTCTCAACGTAAACGCCGGCCGACCGACGACACCGCTTCCATCATGTCCATGAAGAAAACTGCAGAAATTGCGGCTCTTTTCTCAGAGTTGAAACTGAGTCAGAAGACCGACCTCATCGAACGTTTACAAGAGCAGGTAAATGTCCCTGAAACTGAAGAGGAGCGCTACGAAATTGTTCATAGCGGTCAAGTGGTGCAGTTTTCAGACAATATTGAGACATCACTCGGGTACCTTCCGTAAAAAAGCTTTGTACTCACAAGCTGACTACAATGACGTAACTAATTTTAATCTTTTTCTCCACAGGATAGCTTTAATATAGTTTTCATATGTTTTAGATCTAAAACAATAGGTTAATTTTTTATTCATAAGACTATATTGTTAGTGCTTTATTATGTTTCGTAGCATTGTCAATCATATGATTAATACATGATACCTACAACATTTTGAGGTAAAAATGCTCCCACGAACTAAATCCTTGACCTTCATTGAAAGACATAGATCGATGATGTTTCTGTTTCTTCCTCAGATCTATCAATACGGCTGAGCCTCAACGCATGCGCATGTTTTGTAGATGGACGACAAATGCACGACGACTCCTCTGGTCTTCCTCCGTACTCTGCTTCTTTTTTGTACTACCTTAGCGTTCAAATTAAGAGTTAGAATGGTGCTGCTTCATGGCTGTGCTCATAGACGAGTGAGATCATGGACTGCACGTAGTTTGCTCATCTGACTGTACAATGGAAGTAGAAAGCATCATAAAAATGTTGTACATAAATTCACTTTTTCAACCATTTTTGTATAGTCGAGCACCCTCATACGTTCTATTATAAGCTATTTAATACATAGCTGGCCACATGATAGTTTAAATGCATAATAAAATCAAATTTCTACCGTTTACGAGTAAAATTACCACGAGCAGAAAATCATTGCTGTTTGAACGCAAAGGTTTGGTGTCTAAACTTTTCATTGACTGAATCTCAGTAAATGATCTTTTCTCCAATTCATTTCATACACATAGTAAATTTTTGACTTATTCAATAAAAGTTCGCGTTCTCTTCTCATTAGATTCGTTTTCCTCGACGTATGCTGTTGACTGTTCCTTACTGCGGTGCTATCATATTTTATTTCAAAATTGGCATTCCTTTTGATCCCTGTACTTCCTTTTCGTCAAAAGATGAATTTTCCCTCATTTCGAATCGACCACTCTTTGGTCACGATTTCCATTCCGTAAATTCCCTATAAATCAATATAAACTACTTCTCGCTAGATACTTTAATTCATTTAAATGCTTTCTAATATAATTCAAAGTTTAACTTATAAGAGGCAAAAAACAGTTCCTCAATACGTAACTGCTTTGTTTGCTCTCGGGAAAAGTTATACCGAGGGACACGAACTTTCGGGCCCGAGTTTGTGAGAACGTCGATTTCAACGTAAGCCGTAACTTAAGTTGGAATAACGTAACCTCTGCAGCGCTCGTCAATTTATAACCAGAAGCCTACGTTAGCATTGAACCGAGTGGCATTAAATTAAAATAAATCTTTATAATAGATCGGGCACTCATGTTACAAATGAGTTGTTTTATTGCTGACTCATGTCAGGAAACATAAGCGCTGAAATGTAAACCTGATTCTGTACGAATATTTCCTCTGGGTTCTTTGGCGTAGTCTGTGTGTTGTTTTGAAGGACAGATAAGATTTCCAAAACTTTATTATTCATAAACTGCGCATGTTGCACGAAACTAAATTTGTATTTTGTAGTCTTCATTTGATCAGAACTGTCTATGAGTTGCAGAAAGGAGTGCCTTCCGTATTGTTGTGTTCATGGTTGAATTAATACATAATATTAATTCAACCATGGTTGTGTTGATCCTAATATTTTCACAAATCTACAAGCTGCGGAACATTTGCATTTAAAATGTGTAGAAGAGAACCAGGCTTCTGGTAAGCATAAATTGTTCCTTGTATTGTTTAATTATTTTAATTCTGTATGGGTTTCGGCAATCTAGGAAACTCTGCAAGATAAATACCGGACCTCTTGAAAAAAATAATTAAGCTTGGTAGCGGATAGTGTAATGATGTTAGGAATTGTTTTAGTTGGGTCGTAATTTCTAATGCTTTTTTAACATCTAAGCAAGTACCATTAATAGTTGGTTAAAACTGAGGCTTTCTCAGTTTTTTTGTATCTCGTTACAAATTTCGAGACCAGGTTATTCCTAACTCCCTGTTCACCCCGCTGTCTCCTACAGCAGCCAGCCACGGTGAATGTTTACACGTTCCAATCAATTGACTAGGTCGTTTAGTATTTATACAGAACTTGACTATAATCCCATTTTCATAACTCATTTTATAATCAACCAGTTTGATCATATCATTAGGTTTCCATAGGCAACTTAGTTTAAGTTTGTAGTATTCAACTCTAATCGATTTTAATTACCAAAGGCGATTATATCAACAAATATGTCGGTGGACTGAGAAACCTCTGAACAAATTATAAACAATTTCTTACCTTGATCAGCCGAAGTTTAATAGATAAGATAATATTATCGAGACGACTCCGCACCTATTAAAATGTATCAAATAAGATCCATTATCCGTATCCTCAGCAAGATCACGAAAAAACGTACAAGTCAGAAACTGCGCGTTTCGACGGTAGCCTGAAATTTGCGGATACGACAAGATCTTGTGTTACATTCTCAAAGTCGGAACAAATTTTGACATCCGAAAAATAGAGAAAACCTGAACATGATTCGTAATTTCAAATTTGGTAGGTACTTTGGTAAAAGAAATAAAGAATTTGTTATTCATTGAAAGGGAGTTCAACCGGAGAGAACGATGACTTTGTCGCGCAAAAACTAGGAAACACATTAAAATTAATAACTCCGGAAACATTGATTTTTATTCACGAGTAATCTTATTTTCATCATTTCGTTTTTCTATAATTAGTAGTTCGATTTAATAATATGAATCATCTCTAGCCATCCATTTACGAACAAGCGTTTTTTAGAGGTAATGCAAATAAGAGTAATTTAATTCTGAAACTTAGTACAAGCTTGCGTTAGAGTCAGATAAGAAAATAGACACAAGGTGGGTTTTGAATGCTTAATTCAACAATGAAGCTTTACTGCAAATTGTTGGAGCGTCGCGTCAGTTCCGCAAACGGCCGTCGATACATCTCGAGGAAGTGAAATCTCTTTCATTTACTTAGGCATCCTAGCAAATAACATTAGCATTATGAAATAATAACAAATAAAGTAGGAAATTCACTATCCAAAGTTTGAACATTCCGTCTGTAGCAATAAAACTGAAAACCAAAGCATGTCATTTCGCCAAAGCGGGATTAAATGAAAATTTTAATAACAAATGTTTGATTCTCGGCAATGTTTCGAAACAGTTTCTGATACACTTGCGAACAGGCCAGAAAAATATCTTGTTTCGTCGAGGCAAAAAAAAATATTGGTGCCGCAGAAATCTTTCTCTGCTCCTCAGGTACATAATGACAAATGCAACTCATTGAGATTCTACCACTTCAAAACTAACCCAAAATCTGCCAGCCACCAACTGAATGCTTAACTCATAAAATTCCCAGTAAAAGCTAAGATTCCGGAATACGATGCGTTGTGATGTAAAAACTTAATCAAGCTTTCTACATTCCGCAACTGCAACCGTTTATCTCGGATGGATGTTGTTGTTAAGCTCAGAGACTGGATAGGGAGAAGCCGGAGAAATCATATGAAATCAATCATTACTTTCAGGTTATAATTTGGTCTCCCAAAACCTTCCTGGGAAATCGATTCATAAAAATCGGAAATCATCCTCTTTTATCAAGCTAACAAAAACGGGAACCCCAATGAGCGCATGAAAGAACCAACTTATATATTGAGAATCAAGTAGTTAGAAATTGATTAATTGATAGCGAGCGCATCAGACTGCGCCTCGAGGTTCAGTTGGTTCTGTAGGTCTGAGAGCTTCTTCTTCAGAGCCGCGATGCCCATCATGACGATGTTCTCAGGCTTCAGTGAGCCGCACGACTCGACGTTGAAGAAAAACTTCTGCGCTTTTGCTAATGGATCGTAATCGGCTTCATCTGCAACAGAAAATATTTCATCAGTGAGTGTCAAGAAAAATGCTTCATATGATTGGAATTAGCGCGCAACAAAGCGCGACATGAAGCCTGCGGTCATTTTAGGGAAGTGCGCTGAAAAAATACATACGTAGGTACAGATAATCCAGTCACAGCTACAGTTCGATCATAATCCGGCGGCATATTAAGACGTACCTACGCTAAGATTTGTGGGTTTAAGATAAGGTTATCAAGGAAGGTATTTGTTGCGCGATGATGACACACGCACGCAGACACACGAGGGGCGGCACGAGATGTGGGTGGCAGGAAGATGGGAGAGGTGAGTGCAGGCGGGGAATGTTACCAATAATGCCACCGCTGATCCCGCATAAATATACTAAACTATGGAGACACGCAGGGCGGTGAGGAAGATCAGACGAAGAGATACAGTAGATATTGGGGTCTCCGCACTCACGTTAGGCGACGCTTGGAGAGCGACCTACCATAAACTTGCAGGATGTCAGGGAGCTGTTGTAGCCCAACCGTGCAGAGCGATAAGAGCAGACAAAATTGATTTCTCTGAAACTTGAGCAATGGAGGCGATATGTTACTTTTGTTCCAGCCGAACTCTGCTGTGCATCAGGAAGTATAAAAGCGAGGGGACCGCTTTGCCTCTCCGATGAACCAGTAGTAGGCATGATGCCATCTACAAGAAGAGCTGCAGAAAGCCCAAACGAGACTGCAGGCTATTCTTCATTGATTTTTCTTCGCAAAACGCGAAAACGAGGGATATTGAGCAGAGATAGGACAGGAGGATTATGTCTAGTAACAGCGAAAATGCAAGAAACTATTTTAGAAATAATTCCCACGGGAATGTGACCACTACGGTATAGATCGTGACGGAGGAATGAATAGGTTTTTGGTGAGTGTCAGAGGAGAAGAACGTGGTGAAGGACTTGCCCACGGTCAATCTCTCGGCAGCGATACCTCTTGCAGACACACGAGCAGCAAAGCCTGTTCCGCCTCCATGGCTTCGATACTTGGTGCAGAGAAGAAGACTGTGACGTCATTAGCGTATGCAGCGATGTAATAAGCCGGGATTGTGCAATCATAATTGAAGTTTTTCAAGAGTGGAATTGATATCACCAAACCAAGTGGAGGGAGAGATCCAAACCAAGTGGAGGGATCCTACTAAGACCATATATACTTCTCGGATCAGTTCATCCATTGCACGAGGTGTTAGCAAGGACCTTCTCGGGCGCCGACCTACACGGGAAGTTGCAAGTTAAGGGTTGTTTTTTTTTAATGAACAAAATTGGGAGCGGAAGAGAATGCCGGAAGGAGTAGATTTACTGCGTCACTGGGAAATTGTGATGAATGTTGGCACAATTTTAGATGTACCCTATCGAATCGGATCAGATGCAGTTGCGTTCAACACAAAAATGCGCGGTATTAAACAATTACGGTTATATCACTCTCACGCAGCTCACAAATTCTGCTACACTTGTCAGCTAGTACGAATATTATTTCTGGGGAAAAATCTTTATTAAAAGCGTCACCGACATCTATATTCGTCAAGGAAAGCAGCATCACACGCTGATGAGTAAGGATCGTCACTCGTCCGGGCTACGGACGTGGCCAACAGAAATAAGGGAAAAGGTCGTTAGATAATACACGTTCAACACTTATAACTCATAAACCCTCTAATGACTAGGTACCTACTTGTTTCCCTGAAAACAACTTGTTTTAAACGAAGTATTCTCGTATCGTCAATAATTAAATCACTCGCGTGGGTTAGTCAGAGCCATCCTGAGAAAAGGATAGCAAGAACGCAAAGCTGGTAAGTTGGCACACTCTCAAATCCAAGGCTCGTAACCTGGTGGCATGTAAGATATCCTATCATTTCTGAGACGAAGGTATAGGAAGCCTCATCGCTCCATCCAAGTGGGCTCGTGGTCAACAGGCGCGCCTTCGAGAGCGGCTTGGTTTTGGACAGTGACGAGCTTGTTCTTGAGAATGGCGATGCCCATGAGCACGATGTTCTCGGGCTTCAATGCTCCCGACGCCTCGACATTAAAGTAGAATTTGCGTGCCTTTGCGTACGGATCAAACGGAGCTTCACCCGCGACTGTTCGCCCATACAGAACAGCCCACAAAATTTATAACTTTATTTTTACCAGAACAATTAGGAACTAAAAACCATGATCAGAAGGCAGATATCCTTTGAAGTAAAAGCTTGTTACGGTATACATATTATTAACCATGCTTAATGAATTCATTAATTAGTTCTATACGAATCTTTGTATTGAATCATATTAGAAACACGAGTTTTGAGAAAATATGTTCATAAACATTCCAGTCTCTTTGCAAAAGATTATATTACATAATACAAATTCAGAGCACCTGACGTGGCTAGATAGCATCATCCTGATATATTTCAACAGGCTGGCTAATCTCGAAACTTTCAATCTTCATACGAGGTAAATAAAAATAGTGACAGAGCAGTATAAATAATCATTTATAAATGCCTACCTATTATATTTAGGCAATTTATACGGACATTCAACCTAAGGTCTATTCTGCTCAGAGCTTGTACGACACATCTCGGACAATCTAGTCTGGTCTCATTCCAGCATCTTGACTGCCACATTCTAGCATGAATGTAGCTCATCACTCACGTTTGCCTTCCTCAAGCTCCGAGTACTCGCTCTTGGGCCAGTCTTCAGGCTTGGGGTAGATGGTGTGCCTGAGGATGTTGTCAGGGTCGTATTCAAATGCCACTCCCGTAGTGGGGTTCCACTTGGCGTGCTCCTTGCCAAAGCCCTTGACTGCGTACGCCCGTAGTTTCAAAGCCTGGCCCTTACGCAGCTTCACAATCAGGATATCTGGTGCAAGAAAACGTGTCAATTTGTCCACTCTTCAAAGAGAATTCTTCTCTGGTAGTTTATGTACAGAAATTAAAAGAAATTACCAGGAAGGGGCTGGCCTTATAAAGTCAAAGTTTTCTAGTAGCAGATTTAGGAGTTTGGCATTTGCTAACAAAATAAGTGTTATATTGAATAACTAACATAATGGGTATTTTACCAATTAAAAAAACATGTTGTTCTATTTTTTTAACTTCGTACATAATAGGTACAATTTAACAATTAAAAAACTTGTAAGCAGACAAGCAGTTTAGGTAACTTGAGATTCATTTGCAAGACATATTAATTAAGGAAACTGAAAACTTTGGAAGTACGAGGAGCATGATTTCATTTGGAAACCTGAAATCAACTACATGAGGACACCAATAATGAAGATTGTAGAAATAATATGAATAGATCGCACCATCAGCTTCGCCGTATTCAGGACCGTCCCCCCTGTTTCTATTGGTGACGGGAATAACTCTAGTGTCACTGCTCTTGAGGTCGGCAGTCGTGACGTTGCGTGTGTGGTCATCCAAGCACCGGACGTCCAAAGTGAACTCCACGCTGCAGTCAGGGCAGTAGTCGGAGCAAGAACAATCCTGTAAACATCATAACAAATTTTAAAGTCTTGAGGCTTTAATTAATATGATTTCTTGAAATAGTCATGAAGACATTATAATGCAGCACACACTATTAGCAAATTGATAAACTCCAATACCTCTAGCAAAATAGAGTAATATATAATAAGTATTAATAAGTAAATAAGTAAATAAATAATAAATAAATAAATTAATAAGTAAATAGAGTAATAAGTAAAATAGAGTAATAAGTAATAAGTAATACTCTATATAAGTAATATATAGAATAATAATATTGTCAAAACTAAGTAATAATCTTGTAAACCCTTTTCAAATAACTGATGAAATGTTGTTATCTTACTTACACGAGAATAATGCATTGCTTCCACAGTCTCATCTGAAGTGAATGGAATGAGACCAACACGGTGAGATATGAACTCGTCACTTAGCACAGTTGAGTTTTCTTCAAGCTGCACCCAGTCAATAGCAATGGTAGGAGTCTCAGCCATGAACACTCTACGGATGCTGTTGGCTACACTGCAACAAATAAGCAAATAATTACATGTACGGGAACACAAATTGACAATGCAGTGTAAAATGGCAGCAAGCTGACTTCCTTGTAACTCATCAAAAACAGAAAAAAATAATTTAAAGGCATTGAAAGTATTTGAAGATTAACATTACATTCAAAATGAAATAGGATGCAAATTCTCTTTTTGCAGAAACAATAATCAATTGATATTAGGAATTATTATACTGTAATTACTTCAGAACCCTAATAAAAAGACTAATTAAAAAAATTGTGTTAATCACATTGAAATTTTGTCATGCTGACTTCATCAATGAAACTCACCTCAGGTCTGTGTCTTCAATGTGAAATTTTATGTTCTCGTCTGACAGTTCAGATATGGACAGCTTTGGTTGATTAGCATATGGCATGTTGATAAATGGATGTGATAATTTTGATTACACAAAATTTGTTGCAGTAATTATTTATACTCGAAAAATTAAAGTAAGATTCAATCTTCTGGAGAGGATAGGATAGGTCAGTATTTTGTTATAACTACTAAATATTATATATTAATTAGGAAATATTTTTTCAAAAATATCACTTGAATACAGTTATGTATCTATCAATTTTCATCAACTCCTAAAGTGACGAGCATTATTCCCATCAGACAAGAAAATGCTCAAGAAGACAATGTTTTTTTTTCATATTTTAAAACAAATTATATTTATCAGGCAGATGTCAGACCATCAATGTCCATCAAGCAAATGAGTTTAATAAAAATATTCCTCTAATTGTGCAGCTATACAACAAAATTAAAGATCTGACAATTTTTTATCTCTATCTTTTATAAAAACAAAAGATTTGAGAGTATTTAAAAATCAATATTTGTATCTAACTGTATTGGCATGATTTTTTGAAAACATAAATTTTGCTGCTCGTGTGATGCCAAAGATTCTTGGATGTTTGCTCACTTCCTGCACCCTGGCATGTTGCTAGGTATTTGAAGAGATAGATTTTGATGTCAATATGTTGGCAAAGATTTCAAGATGATTGTTCAATGGCCCACTACATACAAGTGACTCAATTAAGTGAAAGCAAGCAGCAGCCTATTTTGAGATATCAGGCATATGAGATGTGACATGACAGGCAGAAGTGACCTAGACCCATAATACATACCCATACATGACATCAATTTTCCAGTTTTTGTACCTTTTGCCTAATTTCTTTACTATACAGAGTTTGACAATTGTGTTGCCAAGATTGGGCATTTTGGCCCAAAGTGTTGCAGGTATTATTGAGAATTTGTCACCAGAACTGCCTAAAACTATAAGACTTTCTGATAAAATACACATTAAATAGGCATTAGAGTGATTAGACTAGAAATGTGTTGCACCATGGCCATGCCAAGATCTTCTGAAGCCCAAGCAGAAAATTGGGCATAATCTAACAGAGAATTGGACAAAACTACTGTGAATCTGGTCAATTTCATTTGTTCCAATGGCTTTTTCCCAATATTGAATATTCCATATTATATGGAATATTCAATATTGGGAAAAAGCAATTGGCCAAGTTTATATAAGACAATTAATTGAAAAGCCTATTACATTACACTATTCACCGCAGTGACAATTGATACACTGAGCGTATCAGAAAGTGACAGAAACTGTCATGGTTCTGCTACCGGATATTGCGCGTGCCGCCGGTCCCCTAATAATGAGTAGGTACTTAAAATTTATAATTTTATTCATGAACGAATTCAACAGATAATTAATTTTACATATTGATAAATACAAAGCAAAAATTAATTATAGGGTAATAATATAAGAAACACTACGTATATAATTTAAATGGTTGCACAATACACAATTTATAGGACCACTCTGGACCGGCACCCAAACAATTAAGCAGGAGATAGGCTATTTGATGTTATTGCTCAACCATTGCTAAGGTTAGGACCAAACAATGCAAATGAGTGTATGTGACTGAGAGAACAAGAATGGCAGGTGCTGTGAAGAATTCTGGGAAGATAACCATGAGTTGGGTGAATGAAGAATTTATGCCAGTTACAAATTCCATCTCACTAGATAGTTAGACTGAGTGACTGACTAGAGTCAGTAGACTGAGTACAGTGTGGGCGTGGCCTGGAATTTCAACCCCTATTCCTAGAGTTCATTTGGGATTTGGCATTTACTGAAAATGAAGGCGTAGCGTAAGGAGGATTAAAGGTCTAAGCAACATTTTAGCATCAAAATACGTCTTCAAAACCAATTTGGAATATATAACAAAAGTTTCCTAAAATCACAGGTAAAATTGATTGGAAGATTTTTAGAAATTAGTAAAATTACAGATAAAAATAGGCAATTTTCCTTATTTATATGGTATATAAATAAGGAAAATTGTCTATTTTTATTTGTAATTTTTAAAAATCATCCAATCATTTTTACCTGTGATTTTAGGAAACTTTTGTTAAATATTCCAAATTGCTTTTGAAGACATTAGACATATTTAATATTTTGATGCTAAAATGTTGCAAAAGACCTCTAACCCTCCTTACACCTTCATTTTCAGTAGAAGGCCAAATCCCAAATGAACTCTACTACTCTAGGAATAGGGGTTGAAATTCCAGGCCATACTGTACTCAGTCTACTGACTCCAGTCAGTCTGTCTAGTGGGACAGACTGACCAGTCAGTCTGTCTAGTCAGTCTGTCTAGTGGGTCTGTCTAGTGGGTCTGTCTAGTCTGTCTCCAGTCAGTCTGTCTAGTGGGTCTGTCTTTCACCCCTAGTGGGATGAAATTTGTAATTGGCATAAATTCTTCATTTACCGTCCCAACTCATGGTTGTCTTCCCAGAATTCTTCCCACACTCAGGATGATGTATGTTTTCGGTGAATTTTCCCGAGCATTTTCACTTTTTTTAAGCTATTGCTGTGCACAGTTGGCGCAATGTAATGAAAATTGATTATCTTCGCGCACGTGTAGCACTCACTAGTCATTACTAGCACTCACTAGTCACACCAGCACTCACTAGTCATTACTAGCACTCACTAGTCATTACTAGCACTCATGGCGCGGTATCGGCATGGTCACTTTTTATTCATTTGGCGCGCAGGTCGCTATGGTCACTGCAGCGTATATAGGCTACCGTGCTCCCGTGCCCTCTCACGTATCCAGGCCCGTGACCTCATCGTATCCAGGCCCGTGACCTCCAACGTATCCAGGCCCGTGACCTCCATCGTATCCAGGCCCATGACCTCCAACGTATCCAGGCCCGTGACCTCCAACGTATCCAGGCTCGTGACCTCTAACGTATCCAGGCCCGTGACCTCCAACGTATCCATGCCCGTGACCTCCAACGTATCCAGGCCCGTGACCTCCAACGTATCCAGGCTCGTGACCTCTACGTATCCAGGCCCGTGACCTTCAACGTATCCAGGCCCGTGACCTCAACGTATCCAGGCCCGTGACCTCCAACGTATCCAGGCCCGTGACCTCCAACGTATCCA